TCTGCCTGTCAAAAAATAAAAAAAAATAGAGTCACAAAGAAAATTAATTGTTTTCATCTATAGTAGTAGAAAAGCTACCTTGTGATATATTATTATATGTGTTTCATATATTTATTGATGTATTAAATAACAAGATCTAGTGTTGAGTCAACTAGTATCAAAGAAAGGATGATAGTTTAAGATATTGGCCACTGGGGCTGGCGCTGTGGCTAGTAGGCTAAGCCTCTGCCTCTGGTGTGGGCATCCCACATGGGCACTGGTTCGTGTCCTGCCTGCTCCTCTTTGGATCTAGCTCTCTGCTGATGCCCTTGGAAAGTAGTAGAAGATGGCCCAGATCCTTGGGCCCCTGCACCTATGTGTGAGACCTGGAAGAAGCTCCTGGCTCCTGGCTTCGGATTGGCCCAGCTCTGGCTGTTATGGCCATTTGGGGAGTGAACTAGCAAATGAAGACCTTTCTTTCTTTCTTTCTTTCTTTCTTTCTTTCTTTCTTTCTTTCTTTCTTTCTTTCTTTCTTTCTTTCTTTCTTTCTTTCTTTCTCTTCTTCTCCTTCTTCTCCTTCTTCTCCTTCTTCTCCTTCTTCTCCTTCTTCTCCTTCTTCTCCTTCTTCTCCTTCTTATCAGGCAGAGCGGACAGTGAGAGAGAGAGAGACAGAAAGAAAGGTCTTCCTTTTCTGTTAGTTCACCCCGCCACAGCCTGCGCACTGCAACGATCCGAAGCCAGGAACCAGGTGCCTCTTCTGGTCTCCCATGCGAGCGAGCGCAGGGCCCAAGGACTTGGGCCATCCTCCACTGCCTTCCCGGGCCACAGCAGAGAGCTGGCCTGGAAGAAGAGCAACCGGGACAGAATCCGGCGCCCTGACAGGGAACAGAACCCAGGGTGCCGGCGCCACAGGGGAGGACCAGCCTATTGAGCCATGGCGCCGGCCAGATGAAGACCTTTCTCTGTCTCTCCCCCTCTCAGTCTGTAACTCTGCCTCTCAAATAAATAAAATCTTAAACAAAAGATATCAGCCACTGAAATGTGGTATGAAAAGATCTGTAACTTTTATTGGTGAGAAAGTCAAGGGTGCTACAGGTATCACTGTGACCTGTGGCCTACATTCAAAAAGAAAAGAAATGCTAACTTGCAGCTAGAGGTTCGTAAGAAGAAGGATCATATGATTGGAATTTCAGGCCGGCTCACTAGGCTAATCCTCTGCCTGCGGCGCCGGCACACCGGGTTCTAGTCCCAGTCGGGGTGCCGGATTCTGTCCCGGTTGCCCCTCTTCCAGGCCAGCTCTCTGCTGTGGCCCGGGAAGGCAGTGGAGGATGGCCCAAGTGCTTGGGCCCTGTACCCGCATGGGAGGCCAGAAGAGGCACCTGGCTCCTGGCTTCTGATCAGCGCCGTGTGCCGGTCACAGTGCGCCAGCTGCAGCGGCTATTTGGGGGTGAACCAACAGAAAAGGAAGACCTTTCTCTCTGTCTCTCTCTCTCTCACTGTCCACTCTGCCTCTCAAAAAAAAAAAAAAAAAAAAAAGATCTATGTTTGGATTTTCCCCATTCAAGTTCAAAGTACTGATTTTCCTCATGGACATCTGAGGGCTCTATTGATCCTAGGTTAGCACTGTGGTGGAGGATTAGCAGGCCTGAGAAACTGACATTCTATTCCCCTAGCCTCACACTGCACATTGAACACGTATGGGCTGGTTATTCCTTGTTATGGCCTCTGGTGTTAAGTGGAGGAGGCTCTATAACAGTTAGAAGGAACAAGGTGGTATCCTCTCCCTTCTGTGCCTCAAGGGAGTGACTAAGGAATTTCTCAAAGGTCCTGCCTGGACTTCCCTGTTGGTAGGCACCATTGGTGAGATCTGCCTTCATGGCGATTCAGAGCCCGAGAGAGCCTGCCAAGCTCATGGGGGACCACGCTGGGTGGCCTTTGGACAGTAATGGTCTCACCTCCTTGGCCTGGATCAATTGGTAACCCCCATTGGTCCCTTTAACCCTAATGACAGCATACGGTGTTTGTCAGCACATATTTCTTGAGTGTTAGGCTGGGTTCAGTTCTCTGCAGAATTTAGAGATGATACGATAGTTACTCTCAAGAAAATGAACATTTTCTGGAATAAAGATAAGATTATTATCAGTAATCAGATCTAGATGGCCCATTTCTCTTCTTTTTAAATCTGAGTTTCCTGGAGTAAAACAAAATATATTTTTTTAAATTCACTTTTTTTCTTCATTAGAAAAAGCTATTTGGAGAAGAAAAGTGGTGATGATGGCAACAGCAGTGTGGAGACTAGGAGGTGTATGGGAGCAAAACGGGGGTGGTCTCTGGTTTTGATTTGTTTCAGGAAATACGTGAGCAGACAGGAGTATGTTATACAAACAGATTCTATATTAACTATGATCACAGCTTCGTATTTATGCTGTTCTTTCCATTACTTCTGAATTCTTACTCTCTAATCCTCTCATCCGGCTACTACAGAGAAGGCCCACCTTCAGGCATGCGGAAAGGGAGGCACAAAGTCTATGCTTGGTCCCCAGGATTAGAACCGCTAAAGTAGCTGGGTAGACAGCAGCCTATGTGTGTACGCAAAAGACAATGGGAAGACAATGGGAATTTCAAAGAAAGTCAATTGATGTGCAAGGAACAAGGAAACGTGCCCTGAAAGCAGACCAGCAGTCACACCCCAAGAACTTGCTCTTGTCCAATAGCCCTGGTAGATGGACTTCAGCCCTCCCCCGGGTGGCAGCTGGGGGACTCTCCCCTGCGCTGCACCAAGGGTGCTCTTAGGTCCAGCGACACTGTGCTGAGAAGGTCCTGGGAGGATTTTTGGGAACTCCACACCCAGAAAACCCTCACCCAGTAATTTCCCAGAAGAGGGAGGAGGGAAGGAGAAATGGGAGACCCGTACTCATGTGCATCAAAACGCTTGTCTGCATAGAGACTGTGCTCTGAGGCCTTTACCAGGATGCCTGCCTGGTCTGAAAGGTGTGCTCATTCCCAGTCTCAGTGCAGACCAGATTTCTTTCCTGAAATGCCCACCTGGTCTAGAAGGCCTATTGCTACCTCACTTACCACTATTCTGTCTCACATGGGAATTCTTTTTTTTTTTTTTTAAGATTTATTTATTTGAAAGTCAGAGTTACACACAGAGAGAAGGAGAGGCAGAGAGAGAGAGAGAGAGAGAGAGAGAGAGAGAGAGAGGTCTTCCATCTGCTGGTTCACTCTCCAGTTAGCTGCAATGGCTGGAGCTGTGCCAATCCGAAGCCAGGCGCCAGGAGCTTCCTCCGGGTCTCCTAAATTAGTGCAGTGGCCCAAGGACTTGGGCCATCTTCTACTGCTTTCCCAGGCCATAGCAGAGAGCTGGATAGGAAGTGGGGCAGCTGGGATTCGAATCGGCACCCATATGGGATGCCGGCACTGGAGGTGGTGGCGTTACCTGCTATGCCACAGCGCCGGCCCCGGAATTCTTTCTTGCATGAAGACAAGAACCTGATCAGCCATATCCAGTACCAGAACCACTGCATCCTCTCCCTTGGACTGGGAGCCTGGTTGGATGAAGTGTACAAATGAGGTATTCATCACACAGAGGATCTAGCTAGTGGTTCTTAAATTTTAATGTGTATTGTCTAAGGGTGCTTATTTAAATGTATTTTCTGGGGCCCAACATTTAACTTTGAAGTCACCAAGGGGGTAGGGTTCATAAGCCTGCACTTTTTTTTTTTTAGTAAGATTTATTTGAAAGAGTGTGTGGGGGTGGGGGAGAGATAATCTCTATCTGCCATTTCACTCCACAGATGGCCACCATGGCCAGGGCTGGGCCAGGCTGAAGCCACGAGCCAGGAGCTTCTTTCAGGTCTCCCACATGGTGGAGACTTGGGCCAGCTTCCACTGCTTTTTCTCAGGCCATTAGCAGCGAGCTGCATCAGAAGTGATATGGGATGCTGGCCCTGCAGGTGGCGGCTTTACCCACTATGCCACAACGCCTGCCCATAAGCCTGCATTTTATTTATTTATTTATTTATTTATTTATTTATTTTGACAGGCAGAGTTAGACAGTGAGAGAGAGAGACAGAGAGAAGGGTCTTCCTTCCGTTGGTTCATCCCCTAAATGGCCGCCACGGCCGGTTAGCTGCACCGATCTGAAGCCAGGAGCCAGGTGCTTCCTCCTGGTCTCCCGTGCAGGTGCAGGGCCCAAGCACTTGGGCCATCCTCCACTGCACTCCCGGGCCACAGCAGAGAGCTGGCCTGGAAGAGGAGAAACCGGGACTAGAACCTGGGGTGTCGGCGCTGCAAGCGGAGGATTAGCCAAGTGAGCCGCGGCGCCGGCCCATAAGCCTGCATTTTAACAAACGCTTCGGGTTTACTCAGGTATGTGACCCAAAACCACAGTTCCAGAATAGTGGGGTCTTCCACGTATCACTTGGAAACAGCACGTGACTACAATTTAAGATATTGGTCTGAGATTTCCCTTCAGGCCCACTTACAAATGAATTGATTTCTGGCACCAATTACGGGTCTGCTCTGGGAGCTCAGGCCAACACACGCTTAGCAAAGCAACTGTCCGCGAGAAGCGCTCGACCCCGCAGTGAAATGATCAGAAACAAGAGAGAGCCCTCGGGCGGACTGCGGGATCCACGCAGCCAGACCCGCGTTTCCCATGCACTGTGGACTCTGTGGTATTCGTTCGACGGCTCTGGTTAAGTGTTCAGTGAGTGCTTGGGAAAACAATCAACCCACAGGCCGCAAAACATGAAGACAACATGGATTCCGCAGAACTGGTTCTCAACCTCTTGTTAAACTCAGCGTCTCCTCTGACAAACGTGCAATCACATATTCTGCTTTGATGTCATTTTGAAGTCTCAACATAAACATGGCTCCAAACTCAACGCAACAGATAAAGCGCTCAAGTGTCCGAGTCCTTTGCCGCCAGAAAAAATGAGGAAGAGAAGCGGCCACGTCCCGCAAGCTGCGGGGAGAGAAAAACGCCGAGCCCCCCAGCACGGGCCGGAACTCGGTGTCCACGGCCGCGTCAGCTTCTGCGTCACTTCCGGTGCGACTTCCTGCGCAGAACATGGCGGCGCTGAGCGGTGTCCGCTGCCTGACCCGAGTGAGGCCCAGGGACACGCCGGGCAGGGGACGGGGCAGGGGATGGGCAGGCTGGGGAGCCGAGAGTTTGTCCCGAGATTTCAAAAGATGGCCAGGTCCCTGCAGTGTTCGGGGTCGGGCGGTGGGGGCGGTCCCAGGTCTGACCTGACCAGCTTGGGTGTCTGTCGCAGGCGCTGGTCGCCGCCCGGAGCCCTGGGGCATGGAGAAGCCTGAGTACGTCGTCCGTGGTGCACGCCGCCTCGCCGAACCAGGTAGGCGCCAGTGTGGCTCCGGTTCCGTCCAGCCCGGCCCCTTGGCTTTCTTCCTTCCCTTTCTCCTCTTCCCTGGACCCCCGCCCTCGCCCCAGCTGTAGCTGTTCCGCCCTCTCCGCTCCCGCAGGCTGAGGATCTGCGGGTGGAGGGTGCCTTTCCCGTGACCATGCTGCCGGGAGATGGCGTGGGGCCGGAGCTGATGCATGCGGTCAAGGAGGTGTTCAAGGTGAGGGCCTGGCAGGTGTGGGGGTGGGGGTGGGGGTTGGAAAGGACTCACTCCATCTTGACCCTGCGGTGATTTGGGATCTGACCTTGAAGGCTGCTGCTGTCCCGGTGGAGTTTCAGGAGCACCACCTGAGCGAGGTGCAGAATATGGCGTCCGAGGAGAAGCTGGAGCAGGTGCTCAGTTCCATGAAGGAGAACAAGGTGGCCATCATTGGTATGTGTGCCGCGTGCCGTTGAAGTGCAGAAGAACAGGTGTGCATTAGGCCCCCTCCTCCCCACAGGCCTCCCAGCACTGCCCCTTGGACACCTGTGCCTTCCTGTAGGGAGCCCCGGGTGGAGAGGCCACGGAACACTCCAGGGGCTGGGCGTCCGTCCTGAAGTCCATCATCTGTCATCAAGTCTTGTTAACTGTGTTTCTAGAATGGCAGCTCTAGCTGCCCCTTTTCTTCTTGCCCTCCCTTCTGCCTCCTTAATCTCTTTATTGGATTTTTTTGGCTCTCTGTTCTCCCCCTACAACCAGTCCATCTTGCCCTTCTCATATCTTGGATGACCCTGCCAAGCTCAACCTTAGCACAGGAAATTAAGTTTTTTTTTAAAGAGTTATGTATTTATTTGAAAGAGTTACACAGAGAGAGAAGGAGAGCCAGAGAGAAAGAGAGAGAGGTCTTGCATCGCTGATTCATTCTCTAATTGGCTGCAATGGCCAGAGCTGTGCCGATCCAAAGCCAAGAGCCAGGGGCCAGGAGCTTCTTCCAGGTCTCCCACGCAGGGGCTCAAGGACTTGGGCCATCTTCTACTGCTTTCCCAGACCACAGCAGGGAGCTAGATTGGAAGTGGAGCAGCCGGGAATAGAACCGGCGCCCATATGGGATGCCAGCATGGCAGGTGGTGGCTAAACCTGCTACGCCACAGCGCTGGCCTCAGGCAAGTAAGTTCTTTAGAAGTTGGCCTCAGCTTCTCTGCCTTGGTGTGCTTTCATCACATTGGACTGGTAGTTTCAAATGTATATACTGTCTAATGCTATTCCCTCCGCCCAGAATGTTCTTCCTTGATGTTGTCAGAGCCTTCTAGCTGACGCATTGCATTAGTGTCCTATAGTTGACATAAAAATACTACAAGCCTGGTGGCTTAAAATAACATTTATCCTCTCACAATTCTGGAGGCTAGAAGTCTGACATTAAGGTGCTAGCAGGGTCCCACTTCTTCGCAAGGCTTAGGGGAGATTCCTTTCTTGCCTCACCAGCTTCTGTGGCTCGTGGTGTTCCCCAGCTTGTAGACACAATTCTCCAAGTCTTGCTGCTGGCCTCATGTGACTTTTCCGCCTTGGAGCCTCTGGGTCCGTCCCTTTGTCATGGAAGTTAGGGCCCATCCTAGGCAAGGATGACTTCATCTCAGGATTCTTAAGTACATCTGCAGATGCTTACCGAATAAGGTCACATTCACGGGTTTGGGGCCAGAGATGGACAGACATTTGGAGGGTCACTGATCAGAGTGCTGGCTCCTGTGTGACATTTCCTGACGGCCCAGAAGGGATTTCTCCTCTGTGTCGGTATATTCCCTGTGGTCTTCATCAGGTCTTTGATGGTCTTGGTCTTCCCGAGTGCATCCCTTGCTCCTGGAAGGCGGGAGCCGTGTGGTTTCTGGTTGGTATCCCTGTTGCTTGACATATGGTTGATACTCTGTAAGTGTTGACTGACAGATATCAAATGAGTAGACAGAGAAACACCAGAAAGGTCATAGATCTCCTAGCATTGTTTCTCAAGCTGAATTAAATGAAGGCTTTCATGAAAACAAGATTGTCCTCCTTTTTAGGCCATTTTAAATGTTCCACCTATTTAGGTACAGTGCCTGAAAATAAAGCAGTAGGCAAGTTTTTCTCATTCTACCCACGTAGTTTTCCTTTGCCGCTTGCCCCCAGAAGCAGTTCGAGGAGATGGGGTCTGGGGTGGGAGGATTGGACACTGTGCCTGACAGCCCTTCCCCCACTTGGTTTGCACAGGAAAGATCCATACCCCGATGGAGTATAAAGGGGAACTGGCCTCCTATGATATGCGGCTGAGGTAGGTGGGGAGTGGGGTGTGCTCACGGGGGTGCAGAGGCGCCAGCACAGAGCTGACGGCTTGGTCCACTCTAGGCGCAAGTTGGACTTGTTTGCCAACGTGGTCCATGTGAAGTCACTTCCTGGATACAAGACTCGGCACAACAATCTAGACCTGGTGATCATTCGAGAGCAGACAGAAGGGGAGTATAGCTCCCTGGAACATGAGGTGAGCCCCTGGAGAGCAGGGAGGGCAGGGCCGGGGGAGGAGAGGCGGAGCCCCTCCTAACCCTTCCCCCACTGTCTGCCTTCTCTTCTCACCCAGAGTGCAAGGGGCGTGATTGAGTGCTTGAAGATTGTCACTCGAACCAAGTCTCAGCGGATTGCCAAGTTCGCCTTTGACTATGCCACCAAGAAGGGGCGGAGCAAGGTCACAGCCGTCCACAAGGCCAACATCATGTGAGGCACCCGGCTTTGCGTGGGGTGGATTCCTGGGGAGGCAGCCCCTATACCGTCTTGACTGATTCTGTTCCCTTTGGCCCTTGAGCAGGAAACTTGGAGATGGGTTGTTCCTGCAGTGCTGTGAGGAAGTCGCTGAACTGTACCCCAAAATCAAGTTTGAGACCATGATCATAGATAACTGCTGCATGCAGGTGAGGCCCTCCCACGTCACCACGGTTCTGGGGCTCGGTGCTGGGCGTGGGGTGGCCAGTGGAACTGACTGCTCCCCCTCGTGCCACCCACCCCCAGCTGGTGCAGAATCCTTACCAGTTTGATGTGCTCGTGATGCCCAATCTCTATGGGAACATTATCGACAATCTGGCTGCTGGCCTGGTGGGGGGAGCTGGCGTGGTCCCTGGGGAGAGCTACAGTGCCGAGTATGCCGTGTTTGAGACGGTGAGCAAGCTTGCTTCCTCCAGCCTTTCCCTGCCTTTCCTCTGACCTCCATCCCAATGCTGCCGCCTCCTAAGTGCCCCTGGCTTGCCCCGCCTCTGCCCCCGTGCCCTCCCAGTCACTCTGGCCCGCCCCCCTCTGCAGGGTGCCCGGCACCCATTTGCCCAGGCAGTCGGCAGGAATATAGCCAACCCCACGGCCATGCTGTTGTCCGCTTCCAACATGCTGCGGCATCTCAAGTAGGTCCCGGGAGACTGGGGCCGGGGAGGTCGGGTCTCCCAGGTGGGGGTGGGCGTCTGGCAGAGTCTCAGCCTCTTCCCGTCCCCGTGGACAGTCTCGAGCATCACTCCAGCATGATCGCGGACGCCGTGAAGAAGGTGATCAAAGTCGGCAAGGTGAGTGTGAGAGGCTGTGGGTTCCGGGCCTTGGCGCTGCTCTCTGGCGGGCCGGGCTGGGCGCCTCCTCCCCCAGGCCCCAGAACATCTGCCCCCCCCCCCCCCAGGGCTGTTCTTCACCTCCTCTTGGCTGTTTCATCCTCCTGCTCTCCTTGGCCTCTTCAGTTCCCATCTGCTGTTCCCTCTTTCCTGCTCCAGCCACTGCCCTCGCAGGGGCGTCTGTCTTTCTGGGGTGGGTGGAGCAGCAGAGGAAGAGGCAGGCAGGATGAGGCCCCAGCTTTGCCTTCCCCAGGCCTGGGCGAGTCTCCATCCCCCTGCTGTCTTCTTTCCTCCCACCTGGTCTATGTCCCGATTTCCTCCAAGGCAACCTCATGCTGTCTGATGTGCACCCCCCCCTTCCTGCTCAGCCTGCCCATTCTGCCTCGGCAGCAGCACTCACTGCTCGCACGGTGGCTTGGGCGAGGGGCAGGGCCTCCCTGCTCCTCCAAACCTGCCCACCTCCCTCCATCCTGGCTGCCTCGCATCTTCTCTGAACATGTCACCCTCCCTGGATTCCATGTCCTCCATCACATTGCCCTACCCCGCTTCACGGGCTGTCTTCTCTTCTTCCCCACGGCTGTTGCCGCTGGTGGTTGTAGGTGCGGACTCGAGACATGGGCGGCTACAGCACCACAACCGACTTCATCAAGTCTGTCATCGGCCATCTGCACCCCCATGGGGGCTAGAGCCCTTTATTCCCAACCTCACAAGGACCATACATCCCTTCAGTGCAGTGGACCAGGGAAGAGCCCTTGAGCCTCTAGACAGTGGACCATACCCACCTCTGGGCAGAGCCTAGGTTGTCCTGGGGCTGGCTCCTTAGGGACCTGAGTTGGTGGGGGGGGCCGCTGGGGGTGGGGCCCAGGCTGCAGGATGATGATGATTCTCACCCACAGGTTCGAACCTCTGACATGGGTGGCTATGCCACCTGCCACGACTTCACTGAGGCTGTCATTGCTGCCCTGCCCCACTAGGCCCTGCCCTTCCCATTATCATGCTTGTACAAGGTGTTCAATAAAACATTGGTCTGTCAGCATTTTGTGATGTTTTTATTGGGGCAAGGACACAGGGCGGGAAAGGGTACCCCTCGCAGGTGCAGGGAATGTCCGTGCTTGTCAGTCTTCCTGGGATGCTTTATGGAGCTTTTTTTTTTTCTTGGCACTGCTCTTGCTGGGGGTGGCCTCCTCAGGGCCGCTGCCCCCTTCCTCCTTGGCGGACAATTTCCTCTTTTTCTTGGGGACCTTCCTGGGGCCTGTCTCTTCCACATCATTCGCCATTTCCTCCTGGGCAGAGGGTTTCTTCCTCTTGGGAGGGCTTCCGCCGCCCCCTGTCTCCGCCAGATCACTAACCAGCTCCTCCTTGGAAAAAGACTTCTTTTTCTTGGGTTTGGAGGAAGAGGCAGGCGGCTCCTCTATCCCGTTCTCCTGAGGGGCCTCCTGGGGCTTTTGCTTTTTCTTCTTTTTGGGTTTCTCCTGCGTCTCCTAAAAGGCAAGATGGGGGAGGTCTGTGTGAGAGCGTTGTTGCCTATGGTGCTCACGTGCACCCCCCCTCCAATTAAAATCCCAGCACACCACAGGGCAGAGCCACTGGCAGTTAAAGCTGCCCAGGGTTTCTGGGGTGGTTGCTTGTGTGGGTATACCTTTGGAAGGCCACCCCAACACTACTTACTCCCCATTAGACATTAAGATGAACACAGACTGTCATCTATCAGCCCACTAAGAGCCTACAGTGAAGCCCGCCATGCTGGTCACCACGGGGCCGCCGTGCTAAGTCCCAGAGGGGCCTGAAGCACACGCTGGGTACTGGGTGAAGATCCCACGGGAGTGATCTGGCCTGGCATGCCGAGACCTCCCTGCCCCCAGCCCCACTGTGAAAAGCTACCGCCTCCGGACACACGCCTGAGAACAAGAGCAGGAATTTACACTACCCCCGGCTTGAGGACTCCTGGGAGGCGGCCGAGGACAGCGCACACTTGCCCAGGGACGGGTGTGTGCTACAACCAGCTCTCTGGGCTCTTGAGCAAGTTCTCTCAGCACCTATCTCCTTCCTATAGAATCAAGAGGTAGTTTAGATGTTGCAGTCCAAAGGCCTGGGCTCCAGACCATGGCTCGGCACAGCACATCCTTTGTTCTGTGGCAAATCCTGCGGCCTAGGTTCTTCCCTGGGGCGGCCCTGCCCACTGACCTCGCACTCCTCTGGGGCGCTGCTGCTGTTCCCTGAAGACGCCAGCGCGAGTGCCGCCAGGCGCTTCTTCTCCTTCTTCAAGCGTTTCTTCTCCTGCTTCTCCAGCTTCCGGGTGATCTCGGCAGCCGCCGCTTCTGCCTGGCCACAGGAAGGTGGTGAGCGGCCTGCAGACCCGGCCGCCCCGGGCTCCCCCCTCCCCGGCTGTGCTGGATCAGGCTCATTAAATCAGCTTTGTCGCCTCCACTCCACAAGGTCAGGCCGAGGCTGCTCATCACCTCCAGCCAGCTGTGGCTCCCGCACCCAGCAGAGCCCAAACTGACCTGGACCATGGCTTCCTTCATGACGTCTAGATTCTTCCGTGGAATCTCTCCAGTCTCATAGAAGGACAGCCGCTCCTCAACTTGTTCTCGAAGCTTCTCCCCAAATACACTTGTGGGTACCTCTGTGTGTGTGCAGTTGAACGAAGTGCTGTCAGCCTCTGAGGGTCTAACTCCCCCACCCCTAGTGCTCCCTCCCTCTACCCCCAGCTTCACTCAGACCCAGAGTATCAACACTCACTAGGTGAATTGCTGTTGACGAAAAATATTACCATCATTGTGGAAGCTGGGAAGGTAGTCAGCCCCCTCCCGGCCAAGACCCTCCTCCTCACGGCTGCCACCCCCCATACCAGAGAAGCAATCGATTCGTGAGGCAATACTGCATTTGTTGGCCAGGTATCGGGAGATGCGGCCTTTGTTCTTGGCGGCGGCTCGGCCAATGAAGGTGGAGTGGAAAATAAGTCCGTATTTGGGTGTGTTACCCCGTGTCTTCAGGGCTCTGAGAGAACATTTGGTGGAGAGTTTAAGATCAGCAATCTCTACCCCATTAGCCAAGGCAGCTCCGCCCCCTTCTTCCCCTCCCTTCCAAGTCTCCAGAGCGAGCCTCAGGCTGGGCTGGATCGTGTATCCCAATGCATGCCAACCCGGCTCCCAGAGGCAGAGGGAAGGCATCCAATGTCGCTGACCTGGAAACTTGGTCCCTTTGCTGGGCCCTGGGAATCACTCAGACACCAGGACTGGCCATCACCCCCATAGCAGAGGCCTGCACAGGTCAGGGAGCCCTGGTCAGCCATCACTGTGATCCCCAAACAAGCAGTGGGCACCAGAAGCGGCACCTGAGTACAGGCAGGTGCCCTCACTGGTACCTGAACAGGGCCTTTTCAGCCCCAAGGATCTGCACTGTGGATGCTGGATACTTGGCCAGGTTGGTGAGACTGCCAGCATGAGCAATGAGACGGGCACCTACCTGGAGAAAGGTTCAAGGAACAAGTCAGAGACCAGCTGGACTTGCTCCCCGTCTCCCCCTGGTGGCCAGCAGCAAGCAGTGCAGGATGACGCATCCCCTCAGCACCACCCCCACCCCTCCTGTTCCCTGTGACATACCGCTTCCCCAATGAGAGCCGACAGACTGGGGGCCACCTGGCTCATCTTGGAGCGCAGGTAAGTGTGTAGGCTCTGGCGGTACTCAGACAACGACACCACGCGGCTGGAGAAGCTCTCGATGTTAATCAAGTCGATGGCAGAGATGTCCATGCCTGGAAACACCCCAGTGTGAGTGCAGGTGCCAGCTGCTGGGAGCCCTCCCCCCGTACCAGCTGTGAGGCTCTGTGCTGACCCATGGAGGACCGGGAGGCATCCAGAATGGCCTTGGCCTTGGCGCCATCCATCGTTAGCTCCTCCAGCTTTTCCAGCTTGTCCTCGTTCAGCTCCTTTCGGTTGCCGATGAACTGGGCGAGGCGGCAGTACGTGGCGTTGTCATTGATGATCTTCACCAGCTCCGGAAAGTGATAGCCGTACCACTCCCTGCAGAGACACAGTCCCACCTGGTTTTGGCTCAGCTGCCGCGAGGCCACAAACGCACCCGCCTCAGCCCTCGCCACCCAACTCGGCCTGGAGCAAACAGGGACAAGCCCGATGCCGGTCCCCTCAACGCCTTGTCCCCCCACTCACAATACAGCCCAGGCACGATGAGGCCAGAGCTGAGGTGTACATGGGGAGGGCCTGCTCTGCCTCCTCCTTCTATACAGTCAGTGTAAGAACACAGCCTGTGGTAAGCACCAGGAGGCCCAGCCCACACTCGCCCGACCGGCGTTGCAGAGGCTCGCGGTGAGGGGCGGCCTCTGGCTGTTACCTGACGCGCATGGAGAAAGTGTTGATGTCTTTGTCCAGCTGGTCCAGGAGGCTGATGGACTGGATGATCATGTTGTCCACCCGGTTCACGTTAAACTTCACTTTGGCCCGAGAGTAGCTGTGGCCCAGGCCCAGCTGGGCTTTACACGCAGACACATCGGTCAGCCCCTTCACCAGATTATGGAAATGCAGACGGACTCCTGGGGCAGCCGACACGGGAGCGTGAGCGAGCCAGCTCCGGCACCCCGGGCCCCTCCCAGGAGCGACCTCGTGGCTCTAGCCAAGCCTCACCGCGCAGGATCTCGGCTATCACGCCTCCAGTCTGGCAGCTGTAGCCCAGCTCCTCTTGTATGGCGGCACCAATCTTGGGGTCCCCAACCCCTAAGAGCACTTTCTTCTTCTTGGACGGCAGGTGAGTCTCCAGCAGCAGGCGGAGGTCCTCGTGCACGACACCTCAGGACGAAGAGCAGGGCGCCCACTAAGTGGCTGAGGGCCGAGGGATCCCGCCTCCCCGGGTGTGTGAGGGCCGAGGGATCCCGCCTCCCTGGGCGTGTGTGGCCCAGCCCTCCCCGCAGGCATTGCTCAGAGACATGGAGACATCAGTGACAGGACTCAGGGGATTGACAGATTATTTTGAGTCATCATTGCAAAGCCTGGCTGAACCACAAGAAACCGGACACAGGCCAACAGCCCAAGTGGGACACACACCAGCCCCCCTCGACTGCAGGGGACACCCAGTGGATCCCAGACCCCAGATATGTGTGTGTGTTTCCTAGATACACATGGGATAAAGCCCAATTTATTAATAAGGCGATTTAAGACATTAGCTAATGAAGAAACCGTGTAGTAACCACAAAAGTCACCAACTGAAATCTCATTAAACCAAGTCTGGACCGGCGTGGGAGGTCCTGCTGTACAGCGCTGTGCAGTGGGCTAAGCCTCCGCCTGCAGCGCCGGCATCCCATATGGGCGCCGGTTCGAGTCCCGGCTGCTCTTCTTTCAATCCAGCTCCCTGTAGATGGCCCAAGTCCTTGGGCCCCATTTGGAGTGAACCAGCGGATGGAAGATCTTTCTTTCGGTCTCTCCCTGTCTATATCTCTACCTCTCAAATAGTATCTCCTATCCCAATTTGCCTTCTGGGACCAACACCCTTGTAATTATCAAAAGTGCCCCTTCCGACAGATTAAAAGACACAGCAGAAAATTAATAAGACAACTAATCGTGTCTAGGCAAACTTGGGCACACGTGCAGGTTAAACCAGCCACCAAAAAAAAAACCACTGATCGCTAACTACAATGCTCAAAGAAACCAAAGCCTACATCGTGGGTTGCATGCGTGAAATGCACCTTAATCACAACAAGCCAGCTGACCCCGGGCGGCGACGCCGACTCACCTTCCGACACCGCGTTGGCATTTTCCAAGGCGACCTGGGACGAGGAGAAGGGCGAGAAGGCCACGAGGCGCACGATGTTGTGAAACTTGCCCAGGTTCAGCACGCTCTCCTCCACCTGCCGAGACAATGAATGGCGCGGCCGGCGGCCGACGTCAGCCCCCGGGCGCCAGGAAGACGCACCGGGGCCGGGCTCTGCTCTGGGACGCTCACTTCCAATGGCTCCTACCGCGACCCCGGCCACGCGACGGGCTGAGGACCCCCGCCCTGCAGTCTTCCGGGCCGGCCCCTCCAGCCCGCGCGGCCGGCCACGTGGGAGCGCGCGGTGCATGCCGGGGGCGCGCGACCGAGGGGCTGCAGCGCAGCCGGGCGACCCCCCCCGCGCCCACCGAGACCACCCACCTGCGGCAGCAGCAGGCTGATTTCCTCCACTTCCTTCAGCGCCAGCAGCGCGTAGCCGACCGCGTGCTCGAACAGCACGTGCAGGAGCACCTGGAACGGCAGCCGGGGTGCGGCCGTCAGCTCAGCCCCTGCGTTCTCCCGGCCACACTCCCAGGACACACCGAGGCCTGAGCTCCGGCATTCGAATTCGGATTCGAATCCAGGCCCAGACCACGGCCTCCGCACAAGCCCGCGACCCGCAACCACTCCTCACCATGGCGCCTGCTCCTTGCCCGGCTCGCAATGCGGCTCTCTGGCTCTGGCGCGCAGAACCAGGCTCCAGAGGACACGCCCCCCGTCGGGTCGGCCAATCAGAGGCCGAGGACGGCACTATCTCAGAGCCTTCGCAGGGGGTCCTCTGGGAGTGGTATCGCCCAGAGCGCGAGTCGCGGTGGAGCGGCGCGCGGACGAACCGGCCTTTTCCGGTCTCTGCGGCTGCGCGGGCGGGCGCGGTTGCCCGGGACACGCGGGATCGGTAAGGCCCTGCAGGCCGCAGGCCTGCATGGAGGGGCGCTTTTTCGGATAATGGTCCGATGGCCCGTATTTTCGTAATATGTGAAGCGGGGGCAGGAGGATCCCCGTGGGCGCAGAGCCCGTCCCACGCCGCGTGGCTGCCCTCGGCCTCCAGGCCCGCCCGCGCGCCCACGCTCCCGGCGCCCACTCTCGGACAGCGCCCCGAGCTCTGTGGGCTGCGCGCTGTCTCCTCTCCGGGACGCGGGACGCCCTGGCGCCGTCAGCGCCGCGAACGTGGCTCCTCGCAGCCGCATTGCCGAGTTATATGTAACTTAGTTCTAGGGCCGGATGAGTGTCGGTCGGTAGTGTAGGAACGGAGCGACCCGACCCCGAGTCCTCGTGGAGCGGTCTCGCTGGCCCGGGGCCGGCCGGGTGTTGCTCGCGGCCCTGAGGCCCGGGAGCCGCTTCTGGGGGTCTCTGGGCGACGACTCCCCATGCTGCAGCCGCGCTAAGTAATGAACTTACAAGCCAGGCCTGGCCACCCCGAGGGAGGACGAGCACGCCCTTCCACCTTGGGCTGTTGAGCCGCAACTAGCAGGCGCGTTCACAGCTTTAGTGGACCTCAGCCGTCTGACAAATTCCCCCTTTTGGGGTTCCATGTGGTCAGGACCTCTTAATCATAATAATCTCTGTTGTGCCCCGATCACTAGATCCCCTAGAGAGTCTATCACACCGAAATGCAGATCACCAGAGACCCCCCCCCCCCCCCCCAGAGAGTGGATCACACCGAAATGCAAAAGCAAGGTTTATTGAATACAAGCTGCGACTGGGACCCCAACCAACCAACCTGCGCAGCGGAGTTAGGAGGGAGGCCCCGGTCTTCGTTTGGGAGAGTTAAAGGAAACACCCACAGGCTTCCATCAGCGGGGGCTTACAGCACGGAGTTGCTCTTAGTTGAACGGGGGTCTCCAGTTGGCTTGGGTTCAGGGAGCTACTTTATTTAGCAGTTTCTTCTGAGCTGTCCATTCCAGCTTTGATGTCTGGAATGCCTGAATGCTTTTACAAAGACTCGGGTCTGCTACGGAAACAGAGGCTGCTTTTTTTTATTATTATTATTTTAAAATGGAGTCCCTGGCTCTTCAGTCTCAACATTGCCTGCTGATGTGGTTCAGTTTGCCGCTCATACCGACTGAGGATCGGGAGTCTACCTCAGGGCATTTCACGTTTTAAAACAGAATTGCAAAATCATCTGTTACAGACTTCCCTACGCTGAATGCGCCAAATTAAACGGATGCTTTAATATTAACATATTAGTGCTGTGACATCCGTTTTTCCATTTACCTCATTATTTCCAAACTTCAAACTAACTCTTCCTGGGGTTACAGGTGCTTATCCACTAAGGATAAGTTGGGGGCTTCTTTTTAAAAATTAAAAAAAAAAAAAGAACATTTTAAGGCTGGTGTTGTAGCATAGCAGGTAAGGCCGCTGCTTTTGATGCCAGCATCCCACATGGGTTCTGGTTTGTGTCCTGGCTGCTTGACTTCTGATCCAGCTCTCTGCTAATGGCCTAGGAAAAGCAGAGGAAGATGGCCCAAGTGTTTAGGCCCTGCCACTTATGTGGGAGACCGGGAAGAAGCTCCTGGCTCCTGGTCGGTCTGGCCCAGCCCCAGCTGTTGTGGCCACTTCAGGAGTGAACCAGCGGATAGAAAATCTCTAACTTCCTTACTTCAAGTAAATAAATGGATTAAAAAGTAGAAAAAAAAAAAGAGTATGTCCCATACAAAGTAGGGTGTATGTGTATACATAAGTATGTAGAAATACATATGTAGTACATACTTTTTCACATGTAGATACACATGTGAAATATATACATTTCTGTGTATTTAATCAGGATATTAAAAACCTGAGTCACTCGGTGAGTCAAAAGATAACCAGTCAGACTTTGAATGGATTCGTGAGCTCTGCTCCCTGAGGCGCTGTGATGGACTTGCCATCTTAAACAGGTGGCTGATGGGGATGCGGGGTCACACCCTTCCATTTACCTGCCCCTAACACCCGTGAGCCCAGCCCAGGTGGTGTCCGCCCGTGTGTGATGTTCCAGACCCTTCTTCACGCCTGTTTGCTAGGCTCACTGTTCCTGCTTTGGTCATACCTTCACCCAAGTGGGCTTTTACAAAGTCTTAGGTTCCCCCTCATCCATACCATCTTCCTCTCTACCACCAGAATGGACTTCTAAGGAGTATCCAGTCATACTTGGTTGATGCCCACAGTCGATTGGAGTAGTGGGAAGGGTATGGACCATCTGTGGGAGCTGGGCTCCAGGCCTCCTGGTATCAGGCCCTCCCCCCACCTGCCAGCCCTGGCCCTGAACTGGCCTAGCTCTGTGATTTTAGTCACTAGAAGGTCCCATTTTCCAACTTCCAGTGGCGGTAGATGGACGCTTACTGCCATCTGATGAAGTGTTGGAATCAGGGAAAGATGACCAGCAGGAACATTTGCCGATGGTTGGCACTCTGGATGTTTTTGGCTTAAGCATCCTTGTTAAAGTACGAGTCCTCTATTGGGGTCTGGCGCTGAGGCATAGCAGGTAAAACTGCCGTCTGCAGTGCCGGCATCCCATATGGGCACTGGGTCAAGTCCCGGCTGCCCCACTTCCGATCCAGCTCTCTGCTAATGTGCCTGGGAAAGCAGTGGAAGATGGCCCAAGTCCTTGGGCCTCTGCACCCACGTAGGAGACCTGGAAGAAGCTCCTGGATCCTGGCTTCAAATCGACCCAGCTCCAGCCTTTGTGACTATTTGGAAGACTTCTCTGTCTCTCTCTGCCTCTAACTCTTTCAAATAAATAAATAAATCTTAAAAAAAAAAAAAAAAAGAGAGAGAGAGTCTTCGCCAGCTCTTAAATGTGCTGGGGTTTATGGGAGCACTCTCACAGCCTAGTTGCCAGGAAAAGGGAAAAGGGACACAATGTGTTCTGTAAGTGTTGCTGTGGCCCTGAGAGTGGGCACCATGTGTCTACATTAGGCCCTGAGAAGTCATTTTAACCTGCAGGCGTGAAGATCTGCGCCATGGCGAGTGGCAGGGGAGTGAGCCTGCAGCAGGATCACTATTTCCTCAGAGTCCAATGAAACAATGCAATTCTCCTGACCTTTCACAGACGTTTTTATGTTAGGCAGCCTTTTGCCATTAAGAAAACATCTGACCCAGGGTACTTACAGACTATTATTATTAAAGATTTATTTGTTTGCTAGAGGTAGAGGTCTTCCATCCGCTGGTTCACTCCCTAAATAGTTGCAATGGTTGGAGCTGTGCTGATCTGAAGCCAGGAGCCAGGAGCTTCTGGGTCTCCCACGCGGGTGCAGGGGCCCA